GTAAACACTGCTCATAACACTCTCGCGGTTACACCGCCATCTCACACGCAGTAAATACTGCTCAATATATCATTCCAAAAACATTCTTTCAAAAACATCTCTTTTTATTCGGACTTGAAGTCCGGTCATAACCGTCCGGATTAGAAGTCCGATCAATACCCTTTAAAACTCTTTCCTTTCCATCCGGATTACAAATCCGGACAAACACTTAGAAAATAATTCAACCTTGTCCGGTTTAGTAATCCGCTCAAAACAACACTTTGAAAATATAATATCYTTGTCCGGTTTAAGAATCCGGACACCACTTCACTTTCTTTGTCATCCGGTTTAACACAATCCGGACAATACACAATTCAACCTTTAACCGGTTTAATATAATCCGGTCAACACACCGTATAACTCTTGTCCGGTTTAGCAATCCGGTCAACACACCGTACAACTCTTGACCGGTTTAGCAATCCGGTCAATAAATCACATGATTCTTTAAGCGGTTTACACATTATCCGGTCACCTCTTGCCCGATTTAAAATATAATCCGTTCACTTCTTATCCGGTTTAATAGATATCAGGACAAAGCACAACCGGTTTAAGTATCCGGATTACAATCCGGACACCACTTGGCCGGTATACACAAATATCATCATAAAAATGCCTCCAAACACATAATAATCAGATCTAAATGCTTTTCAATTTATATGAAAGCAATTCATATTCAAAGCTCAATTACACTCACCTTTTAGAGGTTTGAGAATCAAAACCTTTTGAAATATTCTTCTCCTTCTTGTGCAGTTCTTCAAATCCTCAGAGAAAACACTTTCCAAATATGGTAAAAAGTGTCCTCTTAATAAAAGAAAATCTATATATACTTCTTATAAAAAGTGGGCGGCTTCACTAGCCGACTCCCTTTCCTTCATTAAAAAGAATTTTTTTTTTTAACTTACCACACACACACACATATATATATATATATATATAATCAAAATAAACCAGACTATTACAAAAGTCCATAGAAACCTATCATACTTTTCAATTTTGATCGATTAAGTTTTTGATAAATTGTTTTAATGAAAAAAAAATACATACTTTAGATTACAAAAGTGTTCCTGTAACCGGAACGGCTGGTAATTTGGTTTAGAGAGTAAATAAAGGATCAAATGAAAAATCCAAATGTGTAAAATATTAAAGTCCAGTGAGTTTTTTTTTTTTTTTTTTTTAACTTTTCCAATTATTTTAGTACATTAAGTGGTTTAGAGGAAAAACAATGTATTTAACCGTTTTTTGAAAGTCTAATGATTTATTTGTTTAAAAAAATTTATCTAAATACTTAATCATTTAAAATCGAAAAATCCATTGGAATTTTATCGATTTTTTTCCAAGAAATAATAAAAATATGTCATTTTTCATAAATATACTATTTATAAATATATCATATAAACTGAAAAGTTAGTAGTTTTGTAATTTTAAAATAGGAGTTCCAATTTTTTTCAGCCATTTTATTCGTTTTAAAATAGTGGTTTAGGGCTTATGGTTACGGTCTCTCCCGTTTTTGTACTTCCTCCTTTGTTTCTTTATCTTCGTTATCAAGGTTTTGAGAACACATGGAAGAATTAGATAAAAAAGCAAAGAACAATTTCTCATTATATATGTATTCTAGACGAAGTTGATACAGTAACGGAAATATTCACAAAGTATCAAAATCTGTAAGATTACTTTTACCATCTTCACACATACCATCTCTGGAGATGAAGGCTCTATTCAGAATTCCCGAATATAAGAAGAGAACTGGAGAAGGAGGATGAAATGCAGCAGCAGCAGCAGCAGCAACTGGAATCGGATTTCTTTGATTTTGCTTCGGTTCTCACATCCCGTAGACATAGTAGGAAGGGACATAGTAGTACTGGTAAGGATGAACTTCCACAGTTGCCTTCGTTTCTTTGGCCTCGGGTTTCTTCTCCTCCACCGGACCAACACTCACTAGCTCTGTGTATCCTACGCCTTTCCTTAGCAAAGTCGTCAATTCCACCGAGTCGATTCCTTCACCGGTCACCGCGATTTGGTCTTTATCTGATCCCACAAATGATGCCGATTCAACACCTGTTTATCAAATTACAGACTGTGATTTAGTTCGATAGTTCAAACAATTAGAATTCAGTAGTCCAGTTCAGATTAATTATGAAAATAAATCCAGATCCAACCGGTTATTAGAAAAAACAGTACATGAATGTTCTATATCCCCAATCCAAATCAACATTTAAGTTATGAAACTTGAATTCGTCAACAATTTCCTCCGGAATTGGAGGTTTGGAATCCGTAAATGAAATTTGAACACCTTCGATAATCGATCAGAGGTGTTGGAAATTGTGATCGATTGTTTCAACCGAACTTGAAAATGTGAAGGAATTAGAAAAAAGCAATTCAATAGAGTGAAATCACGAGAGCGGATCTTACCGCAGAGACTAACGGCGATCTTCAGAGCCTTTCGAGATTTCTTATCATTGTGCATATTCACCTTCACCACAATCTTTTGCTGTAAATAGAATCAATCATACAAATTGAGATTTTAACCGATTCAAATAGATGCAAAACAGAGTCCATTTAAAGTACTAAACAGATGTATACCTTCGCCATTTCTGTGAATCTGATGATCTGAGTATATGTGTCTCCATAAACTGGAGAGAATTAGAGGATTTTGAAAATGGTGATTTGAAGAGTGAGAATGGAGCTGCAAAGATTTTATAGACCTCATCCCCATGGGGTTGAGACTGAGAGGTGCAGCTGATGAAGACGACGACCACGTCAACGCCATGGGAAGGGAAAGGAAGGTTCCTGCATTACGTCATAAATATGACACCATATTTAGTTTTTTGGTTTCTTAATTAAACCTTATTATCACTAATTAATTAATTGCAACAAGTCGTTTGCCGCGTCATACCGTGTGAACTTTATCCTTTTAATGCAAACAACTTCAATTAATTCCGTAGTTTTAATAATAAAACGATGATTAGTATATAAGGGTCAAAATACCACCATTTTATATTAGCTTTTTTAAATTCAATTAATTATTACTAATTTAACAAAACTGGTTTGTTTGACTGAACGAAGATTTTAGGTTGAAATTAATTAAAGATATATTAATATGAAATTATTTATAATTTGCATTTGATAGTATAAAAATGAAATACAAAACGTTATAATTTTTTATATCAAATTTAAAAACGAACAAGGATTTGTTTCACGTTGTCATCGTCATACATGGCAAAAAGTGACAAAATTGTCCTCTTTACTATACCCTTCTAGAACTATAAAGTTGTCAATGTAGATTTTCTGAATTAATCTATTATGGTATCTGGAAAATCTTTTTAGCTTTTCATTTTTATCATCCAATGATGTGATCGTATGAAAAAAAACCTCATCCCGACTCTTTTATAAAACCATAAAGGACAAAAGCTTTGTCCTAAATATTCCTAATTATATCAACAACAAAAAATTATCTCTTGGCATAAGATGTGAAGAGGATTCACTTGGTCCAATAGAGATTACGCATGGGAATGGGTTCCGACCCGTCAGAGAACCCGGTCTACCCGCTCCGATCAGGGACGGAGATTTCCCGCTAAATCAGGGACGGCTATGGTACGCCCCGTACCCGTTATGTATATATATTAATAAATTTTATATATATATATATATATGTATATATATATATATATGTATATATTAATTAATGTTTGGGATCACTCTTCGAAAAAAAGACTGGAATGCATTTTTAATTACTGTAATACATAAGATTGGAATGCATTTAACTTCAAGGGTTGTGCCTGATTAGTTTGAGCTTGGTTCCAAAGATCAAAAGTATCAGGAGGTCTCAGGTTCAAATCCAATAACAAATAAAAATTCTCTTGTGGCCACGGAGGTTCAAATGCGGTGACTATGGGCTATCTGCAAAGCAGATGGTCGCCCTGAGATTAGTCGGCTCGCATAGCGGGTTGGATATCCAGATTAATAATATATATATATATATATATATTGGTTGATAAATTTCAAATAATTAATTCTCTTCTTTCTCTGTCAAATTTACATATCTATACTATATTATAAAGCATTTGACCAAAACTGTTAAAAACAATTTTTAGGCATAAAGTACTGTTTATTGATGCATATTACTTAAAATTTAAAATTACAAGTTGATTGTACGTAAGTGCAACTTATTAAAACATCATTTTTGAATTTGTATAACAAACTACAGATAAACATAATCAAATATATGATAAATATCATTTTAAATATAAAAAATCTAAAATATAATTAAAATAATCATTGAATTTTAACAAAATACTTAATTATTATCTTAAAAAATTATTTTATTAAACAAAAATAAATTAGTTTGTTTTTAAAATTGAATTAAATTATAATAAAAAATTGAATTAAAATTATTATCCTTATATTCACTTTTTTTGTGCTCTTAATAAAATTGTTACATTTATTAAAAAAAGAATAACACAATATTAATTGGTCACCACTCCATCATTTATACATTTAAATATGGCATTTGATTTCAATATCTTTAACATGTATTTAAAAGATTTTAATAACATGATAAATACATAAAACATCAAGATTATGAAGAAATAATCCATTTATTTATATTGTACCTAAAGCATATCATTCCCAAAACCAGAATAATTTTCAACGATGGTGTACGGAAAATCTATTAACCCTTTTTAAAAGAAAGACTTTGAACTTTTTACTTAACTTCAAGGAGAGGGACAAATATCATTTGTCGGGAAAAAAAAAACTCTTTTAGTAATTTAAAAACATTTTCTTATGTAGATATTTTCTCGAAAAAGCTGTCTCAGATAAAATTTGAATACGTTATAATTTGTAATTCTTGATCGTACTTCCAAATAATATATATTAAGGGTTATTCACCAACATAAACTTAATAGTTTGAGTGACTTATTTGTTCAGTCATACAACAATTGCAAAAAGTCTGAAAATTTTAATAAAAGCAATGGGCACCACCATTTCATTTCTCTTCATATGTATTCTCTTACAATCACTGGTTTATTTGGGAATTTGTTGACAACAGAACAGAGTCCAGATAGGAAATTGATACAGTAATGGAAATATTCACAAAGTATCAAAATCTTTAAGATTACTTTTACTATCTTCACACATACCATCTTTGGAGATGAAGCCTCTGTTCAGAATTCCCGAATATAAGAAGAGAACTGGAGAAGGGGGATGAATTGCAGCAACTGGAATCGGATTTCTTTGATTTTGTTGGAGTTCTCACATCCCATATACATAGTAGGGAGGGACATAGTAATTATAG